CGCAATCGTTTCTATCGCCGTGGGAACTTACAATCTGCGTGTGCTGAACATAAACTCCAAAGACTGTTCCAGTGGAGATCGAAAAGTCTGTGAAGACAAAAGGTGGTCATGTTGGAAGACTTAGTCATGCAAATCATGATGTTCACGGCTGTCCTAGTGAACTTATTACTTCGAGGCAAAATTCGTTGATGTGATGATTTTGGCGATGATTGAAGCGTTTGAGCCGATTGTTTCAGATGACCTGCATTGCATAATTCCCATTTTATCATTCCTTTGCAGTTATTCATACGCAGAAGCCTATGCCATGATAGCTATCGGATGTATCCTGCTCGTCTTCTGTGTTACCCTCATTACTGTCGTGCTAGTCCTCGCCAGGGAGACCTCAAAATATGTACGACGACTCTCCAACCAACCCCCGGTAAGACGTGCATCTTCTTGCAGCATGACTGCTTTTGTTAACCTCTGCCAACTGAATATTTGCCTATCGATAGTACACGAATGACACTGTTGTCAGTCGCACTTGGCAGGTAATAAGAATTCGAACCACTATCTAAGTATCATTGAAAGATTCCTTTAAAACTGGCTGTTCACCTGCCAATACTCCAGAGATCTCTCCCCTCTCCGTCTAAAAGCATAGTTTTGCTAAATTGTACAGTAAAAGGGCATGTAATCGCTCGTCAGAATTCATGCTTCAAGGCCTGGCCAAACCTGTCACAACAAAGAACGCCTGCTGAAGCATGTAGCAGAAAATCTGGCCTATTTTTACCTAGAAAGTCATTGAATGCATTCTTTGAATATCTTGCACGTATGCTCACACCCTACTTTCTGTTAACTGTCCTCCTTGCCTTCGACGAGGCTTACGGTGAAGTTATCCACTCTACGAGTTTTTGGGAGGCAAGTGTGGACGACGTTTGGTCCGTATGATGTACGATTGGCGGTCAGAATTATCGCAAGCACATCGCATTTACCTATTCACTGCAATATGCACAGACGTCGGTGTCCTAAATACGAACTTACCCTTTGAATAATTTCATGCGTTTACTGTTACTTTGTCATGTTTGCTGATGTTATATTACATGACACATTACTTCAGCTTCTTTTTTACCAAGCCCACAGTGCTTTGCTAATTTCTGCATTTATAGTCTATGAAATGAATCAGCAGCTACCAGATCTAAACGGGTAAGAATGTGAGTCGAGCACCTAAAAAATTCTGTTGGTCTCAGAATGCCAATAAAGAGGCCAAACTATATCCATCAGTTTCGGCAGAATATCTTCCTGAAGGCAATCAAAATCTAAAGACGTCTCACCGACATGCGCTTTTATAGTGCACGTAGAAGTTGCGAAATTATTCATAATTTGAAGAAGGAGAAGATAGGCTCTCCGGAACAGGTTTATTTACCTGCTGGGTCGGCTTTTTAGTGTCAAAGCGTAACATGCACTTAATCGATCAGAAATTTATTTTAAAGTGACATGTTGTGTTGGCCGGCCTCATGCTGATCAATTTTTCTATCCTCTCGTTGCCTCGGCCTCTCGGGAGATGGTTGACAGGCGTTTTGCCTGTGTGCTTTGTGAGTCACCACTCCGTCGAGCGGAGCTGATTGAACCTTTGTCGGGCGGTCGGTCTGGCGGTTCTTGTTCTTCCTCACCGAGTAAACTCAGCGTCACGCTATCTCCGTACGGCCTTTTTAAGTCCGGTGTGGTTGTTTGGTCCTGAGCTCTACGACTGTTATGACGTAGGACTTTGTAAGCTGCAGGAAGGTCCAGATGTCTGCTGATAGAGTGGGCGTCGGCGAATCACGCCATGAGAGTTAGCCGTTATGCTTTTATGTTGCCTCGACCTAAGATGGTAGCCCTCTGGAGGTCAAAAGTATGCCCTGCTTCTCCAACGTGTGTTGCTAGTTGAGAGTCAGAGTGTAACCTCCGAGTGGCCGATTTGTGCTCTTGTAGTGATGGATAGCAGTCTAGGCCGCATATTAAGCCTAAATCATTTCCGACACTGCGAAATCCTCTTGATAGAGTGAGGCAATAGTCACCTGGTCTACATGAAAGGTTTTACGCCTCTGCGCCAAACCACCGTTTGAATGTATTGCGCTTTATTGAATCGCAGCAGGAAACAACATCAGCGTTCATTAGACAACCATTTAGGTTGCATTGACTGCGAGCGCTTTGTTGTCAAAAGGTATGGAAAACACTACATTTTGTGAATCCAAACAAAGAATATCGACACCCTAGCTGCTAACACAAATGTCAGACCTGTAGTCTAAACTTCTATGTGTTAACTGTTAATATGGGAGACGACGAAACCCTAGTTTTTTGACGTTTTCATAAGAAAATAAGATGGTGGGAGCTAACCTAGACTCAATTAAAACAGCTCATGAGAAGGCGGAGCGGCAAAAGCGAAAGCAAGCATTCCTAATATACGCATTCAAATAAATTTAGAGCTGAAAGCGTCCACGTGAACACGTTCAAACTGGGCAATCCATGTCCTCCTAAGTCACCTTTTTAGGAAAGTGGGACACGTGTCTTGAAAAAATTCGATCATGTAACAGGACGGT